CAACCAAAAGCAAATTCTTTCTTTCTTCTTAGATTAATTTCAAATCTTGATGTCAAATTGAATTTTTAGATTTCTAGGTTTGGTAAAAACAGAAGAAGAAGTATTTTTGGGTTTGGTAGAACACACATTCTCATCTCCATCGCCATGTCCGGTTAATTAATTGTTGATAAATTTGGGATTGGTTTAAAATTTACGTTGTGTTTAGGGGATTTAAAATGAAAAAAAAATGAATTGAGATAAAATTCTAGAAGTATGCAGAAGAATAAGGAAGAAGAAGAATGAGGAAGAAGAAGAACGAGGAGAAGAAGTTGTTGTAAAAAGTAGTCATTATGGTATTTTAGTAATTTTATACAGAAATATATCATTTTATGGACCAAAAATCGCATTTCAGGCGCGTGTTATACAACCTCCGTTAAATCATAACGGTGGGGGGATTTTTTGCAACATTTTAGAAACCACAAGTAGGTTTTTTATAAGTTTTAGAACCACGGGGGGTTTTCAGCAATTTTGGAAAACCACATCAGGTTTTTTTTGCTATTTTGCCTATTTTTAAAATAGAAAAAATATTATAAATAGCATGAATAGATTATTATTTTTTTAATAAAAACATTAAAATAATGAACTAAATAATTAAATTGGTTCAAACAGCCAAGAAAAAAAAAACACACATATGCCGGAAAATGAAGGGTGTGTTTGTTTAGTAAAATTTTTTGAATAAATATTTTTTATGTAAAGTATAAAAAATTTTGTAAGTAATATAAAAATAATGTGTATAATATATTAATATTTTTTAAAAATATATTTTTTGAAAATTGTGAAAAAACACAGCCCAAATAATTACGGATACACAAACAAAACATGCAGTATATACATAAATAAACTTATAGATATATATATATGTATGTACATATATAGTTAAAATAAAATTAACATGATTTGATGCAAATAGACAAAAAAAAGTAAGCATCTAAGAGCACACATAAGCAGCTAGACCCTTAAAATGCTTCTACAAGCCCCTCTATCCAACGTGTCAAAGGGAAAAATATAAAAAGGCAAAAAACGACTTACAATGACTTTCAGTAGACGTGTTCAAATACAGATGTGTTAAACAAGACACACACATGTTCCATCTCACAACACCCTCGGATAGACACGGTTGTGTGAGGTAGTTTATGAGAAACACAAACTTGTTGTTAAAATAAAAATAAATACGGCTCGTTAGTATTACACACGTCCATGTACGGAACACTCATGAACTAGGCCTTGTATAGAAAATATAGTCTTATTTGTACGAACACGGTCGTATTTGTCACAAATTATTTTTTTTTAAAAAAAAAAAACTCGATTTAGTCAAACACGGGAGACAACGTCCAAATCTCCCATGTTCAAAATCTTTGTGTGGCGACACCTCCGACAATGAGATCATTGGGCGACGGCGGACGAGCACGTCGGCCGCGGTGAGGGCTATTGTGGCAAACATCGGAGAAGTCTTTCTTGAAATAACGTATTTCTATTTAGAGAGGAGAGGGAGAGGGAAGAAGACCGTCAGCCTGACATCGCTTGTACCTGTCGCTTGTAATTTTAAATCAATATTTTATTGTCGATTTTAAAACTGTTATGGATAATTATTTTCGACTAAAGAAGAAAAGACCATTGAAATGGTGGGAGAAGTGCTCTACAAAGAGCCACTATATGTTTTCTAAGTGCATTTGTTGGACCCCAAGTCCAAATGACTCAAAGTTGAAGGGTATAACTTCCACAGGCCTTTGGACAACAAGCTCCATCAACCCTGGGTTGGCAACTTCGTAACATTAATGAAAGACCCTAGCAGCTACATGTCCTATATGAAAGGTTCTATGGGTCAAAACCAAAGAAAGAAAAAATGAGGATTCCATGGAAAATTGTAAAAAATATCTCACACGTATACCTCATTATCACTTTTGTCCTATATTTATCTCGTTGGCAAAATATATCTCACATGTTTGCAAAACTCGCTATTTCTATCTTTTAGCCGCGCGTGATTACGTATAAGGACGCGTGGTGTGAATGTCACGCGCGGGCAAAGGACATAAATTGCGAATTTTGTAAACATGTGAGATATATTTTGCCAGTGAGATAAATATAAGACAAAAGTGATAATAGGGTATAAATGTGAGATTTTTTTGCAATTTTCTCAAGAATTCTATGTAACTCGAAACTGTTGGGGACATATTCCCATAGACCGGCTAGAAGTATGATTGAAGCAAATCAGAGTAAGTTTCAGGTCTAATCCAAGGGCAATGGAAGAAATTTAGAGCGAATGAAACCGGGTCTAGAAACAACAGAAGATGTTCAAAGCGAATGGAACCCAGTCCAGAGATGATGGAAGCGGCTGTGAGCTGATGGAATGAGGTTACTTGGCGGTTGAGAGAGGTGGAAGAATAATTGGAACTGCCCCTTTTTGTGGAAGAGGTGGTTATGCTAGCTTAGGATTAAAATTAGGAAAAAATACAATATACACAGGCACAAACCATATCAAATCGTCTATTTTTCTAATTTTCTTTCATGTTCTAGTTTCGTTTATGCAATTTAATTCAAGTTCCATGCTTTCTGCAATTTATTTTACTTGCTTTCCGTAGTTATCTTAGTTTAGTTCGATTAATCGCGTGAGATCTCAGTTACCCGACAACGGACTTTTTTTAGTACTTCCGAAACCCACACTGACGAAATCGACGAACTATTTTGGAACTTCTGAATTTCAGTTTCCAACAACATTATAGCAAATCAATAATAAAATCAACTAATCATGCAATCACACAACCCGATCAATATACATAGACAATACTCCATTTGTCCCGCTCTATTATCTAAAGTACTTTCTTTTGGGATTTTATAGTATATTAATATATGATAGTATTTATTGGACAATGAAAATATATAAGAAATTTTGATATTTTTATCTTTTACTTTATATATAAATTAATTGTATATGTAATTTAATGTTGTAATTTAAGTAAAAATTAAGAGTATTTTTTATATTAATGTATAATTACTTTTAATAAAATATAAAATAAATATTTTTGAATAAAACATACAAAAATAATACTTCTTCAATCCAATTTGAAAATATATATTTACTTTTGACACAAAATTTATGAAATTACACTATTGTAATTATAGTGGATAGTTAAAAATAATTTTGTCTTTATTTTTTGTGTAAAAATAATGATATGATGATAAAATAAAGGTATTTGTAAAATAAAGTATTTTTGAAATAGATAATTTATAATTAGACAATTCAAAGTAAAAAATACTACTTATATAATTTATGAGTAAATGGAGTATAAAAATTATTTTTGAGTCTGGACGGAAAGACTATTATGGTGTGTTTGTTTCGTAAAATTATTTGAAGAGATATTTTTTTATTTAAAATATAGAGAATTGTGTAAATAATACAAAAGTAATAAATATATAAAATATATTAATTTTTTTGCGAAAATATATTTTATTTTTTTACAAAAAAGACACTTAACAAAAACTTACAAAACATATGTTGTATACACTGTCCAAGTTTCACTTATACATTTATACCTACACTTGTTCAAATGGTTCAAATAATTGGTTACGGTTTGTCAAAATGTAAGTCAAAACAGAATTTTCTAAATGAGGATTTCAGTTACGGTTTGACATTTTTAGTTAAGGTTTATTAATTGTCGATTTCGATTTAAAAACTGTCGGTTATGGTTTGAAATATCGATTAATATATATTTTTTAGTATATATTTTTTTATTTTTTTAAAATTTAAAATTTATTTAAAAATAAATAACTTCAATTTTAATTTTATTTACATATATATTTATTATTTATTTATTATATAAACATTATACAAATAATAATAATTAATTAAATTATTACCGTATAAAAGCAATCTAAATAATAAATTTAAATTAGAAATTAATTATAAAATACTATTATATTAAATAATATTATAATTTAAATTAAATATGATTATAAAATATAAATTATTAATAAATATTTATTTTTATTAATACTAATATTATTTTAATTTTACAAAAAATTTATATTTTCTCCGTCCTAGTTAATTTGTCCAATTTATACTAAATTTTAGGTATTGTGTAATTAGTAAGTAATAAAAAATATATTAGTAAAAATAATTATGATTTAATAAGAATAATTATAAATTAATATTAAGATGAGTAAATAGTTTAATTAAAATAAAAAAATTATAAATATAAATTTTAAAGTGTAATTGAAATGTATAATTATATTCTTTCAAAAAAAAATTAAATTATACCTAAAAAAAAAATAATTGACAAATTAAATGGAACAAGACTAATATATAATAATGAATCCAATTACTTATCAATTCATTCGCATCCACAGCAGCCGCCGCCCGCACCATGTTATTCCTCAATTGCATTCGTGAATCCAATTTTCTCCTTCCTTCCTTCTCCTTTTCATTCTTCTTCTTCACGTTGTCCTCGATTCCACCTTGCTGCTCCATAGCCGTTCCACTCCCCTCGATTAATATATACTCCCTCAGTCCGTTATCTATATATCGGTTTGTATTTTGCAAGAAATTTTAAAAATATTAATATTATATTATGATATAGTATAAATAAAATAGAAAAAAAAACTAAAATAATTTTATGTGATATAAAAATAATGATATTTGTATAATATATTATAAATAATAAGAGTATTTTTAATATTAGTAAAAAATATAATTACTTAAAAAAAAAAGAAGATGACCAAAAAAAAAAATAGATTGTAAGAGAATATTTTTTAAAAAAATAAGAACATACAAAACCGCCGGTTTGATACTTTTCGTAGGAAAGAGGAACCTAAACCGAACCGTGAGAAAATGGTGTCGGTTTCGGTTTGATGACAATTCCGGCTTGAACCGGAGAACCTGCGGTTCCAACCGGCGGTTTGAAACGATTGAGCAAGTCTACTTTAATAACCACACAGTGGTTTTCTTTCTGAAACGTAAATAGATCTCCCCTAATAAGAAATCACCGCGACCGGAGAATTCAAATCCGGCGACAAAAGAGGTCTTCTAGTCACGACACTCAATTTCCGGCATCTATTTTCGGCGGCGTCGGCCACATCTGGGACGTAGTGAGTGAGCTAATTCAGTCCCTAGGTCAGTTCCAAATTTTCTGTCCCTTCCGAAGGGATTTTTTTATTCTTTGATTGAGAATCCTTGTAAGGTTTTTGGAAGGTTCCATCTGTAAATGTCCGTATTTTGTTAAAAAAAATTGACATTGAAATCTTGCAGCACTAAGGCTGGAGTCAGCGAGCTGCTGGGCGGGAGAAATTGGATGCTCAAGGAAAATGTTTCAATCGTTTCGAATTATTTCACGCACTCCATTGTTGAATTATTGTCCATTCTTCCGCCCAATTTACGAATCAGCAGATTCTATTGGAACCACCTTGGTTGGAAACACTAGCCTCATTCCAATAATCGACTCTTTGCACAAAGGTCACAACTGGACAACCCTTTCAGAACACTTTAGCTCACTGAAATTGACAAACCCTGGTGTTCAACAAATACTCTTGGAACTCAAAGAACCGATTAATTCGAGGAAGGCTCTGAGCTTTTTCCATTGGTCATCGAAGAAAATGCATTTCCAACACGGGCGTTTCAATTACTGCATCATGATCCATATCTTGGCGAAAGCAGGGCTCGTGAAGGATGCCAAGGCATTGCTGAATTCTGTGTTGACCTTGGATTTTGACGAAGGTAAAAAATCGCGTGCACTGGCTGGTCTTGATTTGTTGCTTGAGAGTTACAGGGCTGTTGATTCAGTTCCATTTGTGTTTGACTTGTTTATACAATCTTGTGCTCGATTAAGATTGACTGATGACATTTGTGATGCTGCAAAACGGTTGTCTGATGATGGTTTTACATTGAGTGTTATTAGTTTCAATGCTATTCTAGATTTGGTGCAAAAATCAGAGAAGGTTCATTTGGCTTGGAGTGTGTTTGAGGACATGATATTGTCTAGAGTAAGTCCTAATGAAATGACGATGAGAATCATGGTTAATGCCTTGTGCAGGGAAGGAAAATTAGTGTGGTTTCTTGGTATCGTTGATAATATGCATGGGAAAAGGTGTTCGATTCCTCAGGTGATTGTGCATATGTTCCTGGTTCATAAGATGATAGAGGAGGATAGAGTTAAAGATGGATTGGTTTTATTGAATCGGATGTTGCGGAAACACACGGTACCTGATACTATTGCATACTCATTGGTTGTATTGGCGAGGGTGAAATTGGGGGATTTGGATGATGCTAAAGATGTATATAATGAAATGCTCAATAGGGGTTTTAAAGAGAATGCTTTTGTGTGTAGTTTGTTTGTCGGGGCATATAGTGATGAGGGGAGGATTGATGAGGCGATTTGGATGTTGGAAGAGATGGAAAAGTCAGGTCTCAAACTTTCGGATGAGGCTTTCAGTAAGCTGATCAAAGGTTGTTCTTCCAATGGACGGATGAAGGAAAGCTTGGCATTTTGTAATAAAATGATGATGATGGGGCATCTTCCTAGTTGTTCGGCTGTAAATGAGATGTTGTGGAATCTTTGTGAAAATGGTGAGACGAAACAAGCAGATGAGATGCTGACGGCTTTGTTAGATAAAGGGTTTCAACCTAATGGGGATATATACTCTGTTCTTATTCATGGATATGGGAAAGATGGCAATGCTAAGGCAATTATGAAACTCTTATTTGAGATGAAGTACCGTTCGATCGCTCCTAATATGTTGAGTTTCAACTTGTTGATTGATAATCTATGCAAGTCTGGAAGATCGAAAGAGGTAGAGAAATGTTTGGAAATAATCAACTCTCCCACTCTCATTCCTGGTTGATTGATTCCTTGCTGATTTTTACATAGAAAGGTTTGAAGCATTGTTATTGAATTCTGATGTTCTGACGCTTGTTGTTGAAAGGATCGATGAGCAGTGCCAAACGGTATGGTTAATGCTTTATCTATATTGATGAAAATCTTACCTGTCTTCGACATTCTGCATTACATGGAAAAGAAGATGGTTCTGTAGTTTTAGAGGATTAGAAAATTAGAACTACAATACAAAGGGAAGAAAAAAAAAGAAAAAGATCGATATGAACCCTTTTTCAAATGGTACCAATTTGCCTGTAGTATCAACATGGTTCTAGATGAAAATAAAATTACTTGATTTTAGATCAATTTTTCTTATTTTAAATTATTTCCAGTTCATGATGGATTATAATAATTATATTATCTACCTTTACTTCATTTTGTGAGGTAAAACCTAATAATTTGATAGCTGATGGTGGATTTGATTAGAGACTGTTCTACCAAGGTATATGTGTACTTTTTGCTGCTGACTTCACTTGTACTAATGTAGATGTGAAATCTGTGGCACCAGTAAATTGTGGTGGTGATTACCAGCATACAGGTAGAAGTCATTATTCTGTCGACAATGGTAAGTTTGCTTTATGAAAATCATTATGATGCTGTCGACAATGTTCAATTAACCTGCAGGCTTCACTTAGCTGATCCTCTACTAGTTGTTCTGTTGTTGTTGGTTCTTACAGGCATGGGAGCCGTCGTAGTTAAGCTTACTATACCAAGGATGCCGATGGCTCTTCAGCTGAGGGGAAATCCTCTAGATGGCGAGTTTCTACTAGTTATGGATCACACGAGGTTGGCTTTGGCATTACAACCTGCACTTCCTAAGAACCATTTCATTCTCTTCATGCTATTGACTATACCTTCGAAAATTAACTGGCTGTTGCATTACACCTTTGCAGAAGCAGGTGTGGGTCCAAAAGTCCAGTTCTGGTTCATAGTTTCGACGTAGATGGTAAGCTTCATCTTGTAGAGCAGCCGCTACAGAGGCTCATCTTGTAGAGCAGCCTCCTGCGCAGGGTGCGATGATGAATCGCCGAGGATTTCTTTGTTCTTCGATATCTCCATGGTCATCGGCGGTGTCAATTTTTTTTTTCAAAGTTGCATGCAAAAAGTCGCGAGACGTCGGTGTCCCACTGGGCGTGCCAATCTGTTGTCATCAAAAAATTGCCACCGACAGCTTAACCGAAAAAACCTGTCAGAATTAATTTAATCGTAAGGTTCCCGGCCTCCTCAAGAAAAGATCCGGGCTATCTTGCGATAACCAGAAAAATTAACGAAGAAAGAAGGTAAAACAAGAACGCTGGAAATTGATTAGAATTAACGGGAGAAAATTGTAACAGTCTGAAAAAAATACAGGAATTAAAAATTGCAGAGGAAAAATTAACGCAGAAGACGATGATTGATCATGCCCTTTCGTCCTTCAGCCTTCTTAGGCTTTTATTTCCCTAATCTTGTTCGGATAAGATTCTTATCCCTTATTTTTCTCAGATCTCCCCAACCTCTTTCTGTTTTAAAATTATGCCTTATCCGTGTACTTGTTGACCACGGGCCTATTTACTGATTTGGACCTTTTTTTGGGCCATACCCTCCCGGGACTTGAGCAACGCCTGCTTGGGCCGGCCCGGCTTATTTTTGGAGTGTACAAACATTTAAATTAACTGATGTAAATATATATATATATATGATGACCTTAAATATAAGCATATTCTTAGCTTGACAAAACTGTGTATTACTTGAATTTCTGTATAAAAACCATCATAGTAATCTATTAATGGCACACATTATTGATCAATATCGCTTGGCATGATCCAGAGTTCATTGTTGAGATTATTAACTATTTTTTCCCTTTTTAAGCGGTATTTCAGTGCCAAAAAAGCTAAGGCAGACGCCACAAGCGACAACCAACATCGCTCGCAAGCGACCATTGCATCATCGAGAAAAGACAAAGGCAAGGGAAACAAGCGGTAGCTTCCACCGCTCGCAAGCGGCGGTCTCTCCCATCATGTGCTAAAAACCATTCGTCAGAGGAATGAGATATTAACTTTCAAGATGGCGAATGATGAGACCCTTCCTAAAGCTTGGAGCTGCTACAAACAACTGCTCCGTAACTGCCCTCATTATGAAATTCCGGACTTCATGGAGCTTCAAATTTTCTACTTAGGAATCACTCATGAACTGAGGATGTCACTTGATGCAGCGGCAGGAAGCTCGCTAATGGGGCGCTATGCCTCTGAAGCGAGGGCTTTGATAGAAAAGATGGCGGCCAATCAGACAAGTTGGCCAGAGACCAACAGGCCGGGCCATCGAGGGGTCTGTACCAGGTCCCTGCTTCCGTTTCCCACGATGCACGGATAGACAGTTTGTCTATCCAAGTCAAAGAGTTGTGTAAGCTCATGAAGCAAGACCTGCATAATAAAGGAAAACAAACGTTGCATGAGGCCGCGGAAATTGAGGAAAATGTCTATGGAGACCAACGAGGTCCGCAGGTTGCTGAGTGCTCAGCTGAAGAGGCTCAGAACCCAGCGGAGGTCTATTATATGGCTGGCAGGAATGCCCCTCAATTCCAGCAGTTCCAAAAGGGGCAGACTCAAGACCCCGCTGGACCGCGTCCTCGGCAACAATTTCAAAGGCTACAACAGTTCGCTACGCAGCAATATCATCAAAGAGGATTTTATCCACATCAACAGCAATATTTTCAAGCCACCCACTTTTCGCAGCAGGCACCTGCATTTGCCCAACCTCCCACAGCGACCCAAGCACCGCTGAGTCTGGAGGAACTCTGGAGGAACACAGAGCGCGCAAATAAGGAGTTTTAAAGAAATACATCTGCCTCGATTAAAATGTCGGAGATTCAAGTCGGGTAGATAGCTGAAGCTATGAAGCTGAAGCTGAAAGGAATGTTGCCTAGGACAGTCGAGAGTGTCCCGAACCAAGCAAAGGCCATCGAAACAAGGGGTGGGAAGCGGACGCAATCACCACCGCTGCCAGATAGAGGTACTAATACTCCTCCTACCCCTATTATTGCTAATTCGCCTATGCATGATGAAATTATACAAATTCCATCTAAGAAAGAAGGTCCATCCCAGCCATGAGCGATACAAGCCGCTAGGGTGCTTGAACCGAAGGAAAAAGGGTCCCGCTCAGCCCTTGGCTCGAGCCCTTTTTCCTACTCAACTTGGGAAGAAGGACAATTCCAAGGAATTTGATAAGTTTGTACATACTTTCCGTAGTCTTCAAATTACTATACCATTTGCTGATGCTTCATCACAGATGCCACATTACGCTAAGTTTATCAAAGATATAATCAATTGTATGCGGGAATTCCCTGATGAAATGGCAGTGGTGCAGCTGGAAAGTGTGTAACGCCGTATTTAAGGAGGACCTCCCAAAAAAACTCAGTGATCCTGGGAGTTTTATTATTATCTGTACAATAGGAAATTTAGAGCTGATTAGGGCATTATGTGATTTAGGAGCAAGTATCAATCTTATGCCCTTCTCGCTTTTCTCTAAATTAGGGCTTTATGAATTAGAAGCATGCAGAACTGTAATTCAGTTTGCCGATAAATCAATAAGACTTCCTAAAGGAATTATTCGTGACGTACTCGTGCAAGTAAACAAATTTATTTTCCCTGCAGATTTCATTATTATGGAAATGAGTGAAGATCGCAAAATTCCAATCATTCTATGGAGACCTTTCCTAGCCACCGCTCAAGCTACTATAAACGTCGCTCAAGGCGAAATCTCATTGAGCTTTGGTGGCGATAAAGTCACATTTTCCATGAACAAAGCACTGCGCCAACCTCAAGAAGAAAACTGTGATTTTATCAATGAGTTAAATGAATTATCAACTTTTGAGAACTGTATAACACTTGCAAATCTTGAAGGAATTTCAGATAATGGGTCGCTTGAGCTGGAAGCTGAAGTGGACTCTGGTGAGGCAAGCGGTGAGAGATCAACGCCCACTGAGTCCATAGATCAAGCCACGAGGGAACCAGCAAACGACACCAACATACAGGACGAGCTGAACAAATTGCCTGAGCACCTCAAGTATATATTCCTTGGACCGGAGGAGAGTTACCCGCTGATAATCTCCGCCTCACTACTGCTGGACCAAGAGGCTCAGCTTGTCTCACTTCTCAAAAGGAGGAAAACGGCGTTTACATGGAAGATCACTGACATCAAAGGAATTAGCCCAACAGTGTGCATGCACCATATTAGGCTGGACGCTGATGCAAAGCCATGCAGACAGCCTCAGCGGCGATTAAATGAAAATATGCAAGAAGTGGTAAAGAAAGAGGTGATCAAGCTGTTCAATGTAGGATTATCTACCCTATCAGTGACAGCCAAGGGTCAGCCCAACCCAGGTGGTTCCCAAGAAATGAGGCTTTGTCGAACAGACAAGCGACGAGGGGGGGGTTTTCATGACAAGACCTGTCATTGGATGGAGGGTCTGCATCAACTACAAAAAATTGAACGCAGCCATGAAGAAAGATCATTTTCCGCTTCCCTTCCTTGATCAATGCCTAGAGAAGCTCGCAGGACACGAGTACTACTGTTTCCTCGATGGCTACTCAGGCTACCACCAAATTCCCATCAAGTCGGAGGACTGTGAGAAAACTACATTCACTTGTCCGTATGGTACGTTCGCCTATAGAAGGATGTTGTTCGGGCTCTGCAATGCCTCGGCCACCTTCCAGCGGTGTATATACCATATATTCAATGACCTCCTGGACTCCTGCATAGAAGTTTTTATGGATGACTTCTCGGTTTATGGCAAGACATTTTCCAAATGCCTGAATAATTTGGAAAAAGTACTTCTCCGCTGCATCGAGACTGATCTCGTGCTGAAGTGGGAGAAGTGTCATCTCATGGTAAATGAAGGAACTGTCTTAGGCCATAAAATCTCATCTGCCGGCATTAAAGTAGATAGATCAAAAGTTAGTGTAATTGAAAAGATGTCAGCGCCCTCGAATGAGAAAGGAGTGCGAAGTTTCCTTGGACACGCGGGGTTCTACCGCCGTTTCATCAAGGGCTTCAGTCAAATCACACTACCGCTCACTGCATTGTTGTGCAAGGATTCCCACTTTCATTGGCCAAGCGAGTGTGAGGAGGCTTTCCTTGTCTTAAAAGAGAAGCTGACCACCGCTCCTATAATATATGCACCAGTGTGGAGCGAGCCATTCGAGTTGATGACGGATGCAAGCGACTATGCCGTCAGCGCTGTATTAGGACAAAGGGTGGAATCCAAATTGAATGTTATCTACTATGCAAGCAAATTGTTGGATTCTGCTTAGAAGAATTACACTACAACCGAGAAGGAGCTGCTAGCTATGGTCTTCGCTTTCGAAAAGTTCAGAAAGTATCTTATTGAAAGCAAGACCATTGTTCACACTGATCATACAGCTATCAAATATTTGATGGAGAAGAATGAGACAAAGGCCCACTTGATCAGATGGGTCCTGTTGCTCCAAGAATTTGGTATTGAGATCAATGATAAGAAGGGGAAAGAAAATCATGTGGCAGATCACCTCAGTATGTTAAGGCAAGAAGAGGACATATCTTCTTCTATCAACAAACAATTCCCAGATGAAAAGTTGTTCCTGGTGCAAGCGAAGGAGCCATGGTTTGCTGACCTGGCAAATTTCTTAACTACAAGACAGTTTCCTACACATACTGTACAACGAGAAAAGAAGAGATTGCTCCGTTTGGCAAAGGATTATTTTTGGGATGAACCCTATTTGTATAACATCGGCTCAGATGGTATAATCCGCCGCTGTGTAGCGGAGTCTGAGATCCCGCTGATCTTAAATAAATGTAATGGGTCCCATGTAGGAGGGCATTTTGCTGGTCTGCGCACAGCGGCCAAAGTTTTGCAGTCAGGTTTCTTTTGGCCTACCCTACAGAGAGATGTAGATGTCTTTGCCAAATCTTGCAACAAG